GGAGACTGTCCCTCCTTCTTCAGCAGAGGATCTGGTGCATTTGAACCGTGCTCTTCCGGGATTGCAGTGCAGCTTCTTGCCATTAAGCCACCAAAGCTTGCCTAGAGATTTCTTTCTTGTAACTCTGTTTTCTCAGAACTTTGTCCTGCAATTTCTGGCTCAAATTTTATGAACTCTGAGTTCTGTCACAGCAATCTAGCAAGAACTTGGTGCTGTAATTGGAATGCCTCTCTCTCATCTTTGTGGTCTGGAAATTGCTTCTAGAAAGAAATCCTGGGTAATTATGGACCCGGTCTCTTTTGTTTCCCTTTCCTTTGAGATCACAGTCCTGAGTTTTTCTTGTCCAGTGTCTGAAAACTTGTAAACTTTATTTTGTCTAAATTTTTAGTTGCTTGGCTCAAGAGGATAAATCTCATTCCTGTTCATCTGCCTTACGCCATTTATGAAAATTAGCTCAATAGCTAAAATTACCTAAATAGCTAAAATCAAACAATTCTTTGAAGAAAACAGGGGTAAATTTCAGGCCTTGTATTTGACAATGGACTCTTAGATATGACACTGAAAGCACAGGCAACAAAAAGAAAACCAGATAAATAGGACTTTATGATAATTAACCTGTGCATTTGGGGCACATTTTCAAGATAATGAAAAGATAACCTACAGAATGGGAGAAAATATTTGGATATAATATATCTGATAAAGGTTTAATATCTAAAATATATAAAGAACAAGAAGACAACGCAACCAAAATCAACCAAACCCAATCTAAAACAAACCAATTTTAAGAAGGTTGTTTTTTTGTTTTGTTTTTTTCAATTTTAAGAAGTTTTGATGACTCTCACCAGATGCTCTGCTGGAAAAGGAGGGGCAATCTCCTCCTGTGCCAGTTGGATCTGACTTGATGGTACACAACAAGGAAAAAAATAGTTCTCCAAAGAAGATATACAAATGGCCAGAAGCATAAATACACGAAGATGTTTATCATTGGTCATTGCTTTTGCTTGATGCCATTGAATTGGTTCTGACTCACAGTAACCCTATTGACAACAGAACTAAAGACTGGACTTGCACCTTCCTCACAATTATTGCTGTTTGAGTCCATTGTTGAGCCACCGTGTTGGCCCACTCTGTTGGGGATTTTCTTCTTTTTCACTGATTGTCTACTTTAACAAGCATGATGTCCTTCTCCAGGGACTAGGCCATCCTGATAGCATATCCAAAGTATGTGAGGCAAAGTCTTGCCAGCTAGTGTAGCTGTACTTCTCCCAACACTGATTTCTTTGCTTCTGCATTCCATGGTATATTCAGTGTTCTTCACCAACACTATAGTTCAAAGGCATTAATTATTTTTGTTTTCCTTATTCAATATTGTGATGCAATAGATTGATTGTTTAAACCTATTTTCTTAGCCATTGATTTTTACTTTCCCATGGCTGGGTAGAACTATACTAATTATGTGAATGAGGTGAATAGGATTTTTTTGTGGGGAACATGCATACAAGGTATGTAGACTACTAATGAGGAGATTGATGTCCATTTGGGCTAAAGACAACTACATGAGAAAGAGGTGGACTGAGATTGAAATATAGACAGAGCAGTAGGAGCAGCTGCTGCTGCAGCAACAGAGGTGACAGAGAACTAGAGACTGGTGTGGGACAGACTTGAATGAGAACTGCTGCCCTACAGAGCCAAAGCTGAGAGCTTTGCCCAGATTTACAGGAGGACTGGAGGAAATGCCATAATTGGCCGGACTAAAAGAGCTATGTAACACTGGCCCAGAACTGCAAGGCTGAAGGTCAGAGGGGCTGTGAGCATACCAGAGAAGCTGTCTGGAGAGAAGAATTGTGTCCTGTTTCTAATCTGAATTGTAATCTATTACTTTCCTAATAAACCCCATAGTTGTGAGATTGCCTGTGAGCTCTTTGTGGCCATTGCAAAGGATTAGTGTAGCAAGTAGCTTTGTGGCAAGAGAACTGGAAGGATGGTTGATGTTAAAATGGATAGAAGTAGGTGTGGAAGTGTGGGAGGGTCTGACCTCATAGGACGTGGGCTTTTGTGCTGCTGATGTTGTGGATGGGGACTGTTCCTTCTTGCAGAGTTAGTGGCAGTCAGGCATGGTCACTCCTGTGCAAGAAACCCTGTTTTAATTGTTCACCTTTTGCATGCATATGAAGCAATTAAAAATGTCAAGGCTTGGGTCAGGTGCACTGTTGTGCTCAAAGTGACATCTTTGAGGTGGCAGGTCTGGGGAAGGGGCAGTTGGCACCATGTCTGGGCATGAAGGTGGTAAGAAGCCCCCGAAACAGCCCAAGAAGCAGACCAAGGAGATGGACGAGGAAGATAAGGCTTTTAAGCAGAAACAAAAAGAACAGAAGAAACTCGAGGAACTAAAAGTGAAGGCCACAGGCAAAGGTCCCCTGGCCACAGGTGGAATTAAGAAATCTGGCAAAAAATAAGACTGAGGCAATGATGAACCTTACTTCTGTGCCTTTTAAAAACATCTGGATTCTGTGCTGTAACATCTGTTGCCTCCTGTAGTTAAAAAAAATATGAAGTGTTGTCTTGGAACCTCTTGTACATTTAAGAAGAAACTTTGTGAAACAGTGAAGAAGAAACCCTATGATGGTCCATCTCCAGTTCTTACTCAGCCATTCCGATCTTAGCTGTGCAGTCAAAGTAAATGCAATCCAGAATCCTGTCAAGCCAGTCAGAATCTCCTCTTCATTCTTTGTTATGTTCAGAATTCTGTACCACCTGGAATTAAACCAGCTCATTTGAGGAGAAAAAAAAAGTGACATCTTTGTTTTTTCAACACTTTAGAAAAGTCCTTTGTGTGGCAGATTTGCCCAATGCAGTATGTGGTTTGATTTTGTTTTTAAAATATATTTTATTATTTTATTATTTTTTTTGTGTGTATCATCAAATTGGATCTGACTGGTACAGGAGGAGATTGCCCCTCTTTCTCCAGCAGAGCATCTGGTGGATTTGAACCACATACCTCTGGAATTGCAGTGCAGCTTCTTGCCACTTGGCCACCAGAGCTCATGATTTGATTTCTTAACTGCTGTTTCTGTGGACATTGATTATAGATCCAAGTAAAATATAATTCTTGATAACTTTAAAGTTTTCTATGTGTGTTGTACTGAAGGATGTAGTCTTTGATCTTCAAGTCTTCTTTACTTTTAGCAAAAATGGTTATCTGTATACCATAGGTTATTGATGAATCTGCGTCAAATCCTGATGCCATCTTCTAAAATTATTTGCTCAGCAAATAATTGAATAAATTTTTGAATGGATACAGCCCTTACACACACGTTTTCACATTTTAAACTGTGCAATATTCCCTTGTTCTATTTGTACCTCCACATTTTAGTTTATGTACAGGTTTCACATAAGCACAATTAATCTTTTGGACTTTCTATTCTTTACAGTGTTATCAATAATTTGTTGTGATCTCTACAGTGAAATGCTTTTATGTGGTCAATAAAATAATTTGTCTTGTTGTGTGCCATTGAGTTGGAACTGACTCATAGCTGACCCTCCAGCAGGTTTTTGGAGACAGTTAATTTCATGGGAGGAGACTGTCCATCTCCGGCAGAACTGCTGGGAGATTTGAGCCCTGTGCTTTTGGGATTGTACTGCAGCTTCTTACCACTAGGACTTTAAATCTCCCTATTTCCTTGTTGTTGTTAGGTGCCTTCAAATTGAATATGACTCAAAGAGACCCTATGAACAGCCAACCTGTACTCTGGCCATCCACATAGTCTCTGGCACACTAGAGGCCATTGTTAAAAATCACTGTTAATTAATTTCATGGAAGGAGGGGGCTTGTTTTCCTTTGCTGACCCTCTATCTTTCCAAGAATGATATCCTTTTTGAAGGAATAGACTCACTCACCTAGCTACATGTCCAAAGTATGAAAGACAAAGCTTTGTCATCTTTGCCTCCCAGGAGCATTCTGGCTGTACTTTCTCCAAGACATCTTCATTTGTTCTCTTGGCAGTCCATGAGATAGTCAATACTCTTATCCAGCACCATAACTCAAAGGCATCAATTCTTCTGTGATCCTTATTCATTGTCCCGCTCTCTGATAGCAAGCACATTACTGAGAAGACCATCGCGTGAATCAGGTGCACGATAGTCTTCAAATTGACATCATTACTCTTCAGCCTTTAGAGAGGTCTCTGTCAACAGACTTTCCCAGTGGGCTATGTTTCTTCATTTCCTAACTACTGGTACCAAGGGCGTTGGTTGTTGATTTAAGGAAGAAATCATTGACAACTTCAATTCTTTCTCCATCTATCATATTTGTCTTTCAGGAAATGAAAATCTAGACCATCAACAGTGGAAGGAGTGAGGGAGGATGTTGTTGTTATGTGCCATCATGTTGCTTGTGACTCATAGTGACCCTACATACAATAGCTCTGAATTTTACTCTATCCTGACCAATCTGTCTTCCAACACACGTACTCCCATTATCCCAGTCACTGAGTCAAGCTATCTCATCCAGGGTCTTCCTCTCCTGTGCTGTCCCTCCACCCTTCCAACCATGTTTTTACTTTATATACACTGTGTTGTTTAACTTTCAAATAATGTAACTTTTAAAAAAGCTTTGTCACCAGCAAAGTTGTTATGTGCCATCACATGAGTCGCCTGTGACTCATAGCGAGCCTTAAGTACAGCAGCTCTGAACCCTACTCTATCCTGAGTGTCTCACTGACTCCAACACCTACCTTTATTACACTAGTTACTGCACTGACTAGCAATGCATGTCATAAATTTTGAAATGAAACCTTTTTTTAAAGAACCTTAACACCACATAGTAGGTGTTCGGTGAGTACTTATCAAATCCAAGAATGAATGAATGTTTTGAGTAAGGTGAGGAAAAGGACAGAACTTGAGAAGCAAGGGGAAGAAGGGTGGGAGGTGAGTGTGCCCCTGGCTGGTAATCCCAGTACCAGCTGCTCAGGCCTCTGATATCTATTTTGATTCCCAAATAGGATCAAGAAACCCTTTCCCAGCCTGAAATTGACCTGGAGGCTCTCACAGATCTATCCACAGAGGAGCAGAAGACTCATTTAGAGGTTGGATGTGGGCCTGGGCCCTAGACCCAAGTGATGTGGGGTTGGAGATGGGCTTGGATCAAGGGGAACCCAAGAACCTAGGCTTTGTCTCATTGAGTGGGATGAGAACCACTTCACAGGTGAGAGAATCCCTGGGGGTCTGGGTGGTGCTATGACTTGGTAACCAACTCTCTATTCTCTACCATTCAGGCCATTCTCCAAAACTGCCCTCGTCCCACAGAGGTAAGGGATGCTCTGCTGGTCTAGACATAAGCCTAGGCCAATGAGGGAGTGGAGGAATATTTTAAGGAAAGACTTGGCCCTTGGGTTTTTATCTGCTTCCCCAGTTCAGGAAAAATGAGGTCAAGGGAAATTAGAGAAGGCAGGGTGATGAATGGGAATAACCCATGTCTTAATCTCACCCATTTTTCTCTTCACCAGTCCTTCATCTCTGAGCTGCTCAGTCAACTCAAGAAACTCCGGAGATTCAGCAGGCCTCAGAAGTAAGCTTCGTGGGACTACCTTTGGCAGCCTCAGCACTGTCCAGGCCTGCCCTGAATGTCTGGATCCTGGAATGTGGAGAGGAAAACAATTCCTTGGAACAACAAGGAAGGACATTTGGACACTCCTAGTGGCTGTATAGTCACAGCTAGTTCCTGTCAGCTGGGCTTTCTGGGAGCCAGACATGCTGTTACCCAATGATTTCCTTGGCAGCAGACAAGTGGATAAAACTTTCAGGAGACCTGAATGGAGTGTGGAGCATATCTGTGTTGAATGACACAGGGAAGGGGAGGGTCAAACAAGACATTAGAAGGCCAATATCCTGAGTCACCGGGAGTAGGTTATGCCCACATAACTCATTTGGTCATCCATACAGGGATTTAGAATTTAAAAATAAAGGTCATAGCTCCACCCAGAATTCAAGCTGATTTAAGACTCAAGAGAGTGGCTGATTAAGACACCAAGCATTTTGGCATCACCAATAGGTGCCCAAGTGACAAAGACTCTAGAGGGAAGGTAACAAGAAAAACCTATCTGTATTTGGAGAACTCAGCGAAGGCTACAGCTTATTTGACTTCCATATGCAGAAGGCCTCAAGCTCTTTCTTGAGCTAGGTTTAATCAGAGACAGAAAAAAAGGAGAGGCTATGCAGAGTGTAAAAGGTATAGGGTGAGAGGCCAGAGGCTGGCAGTGGGGGCCTTGCTGGAAGGTAGACATGAGGTCTGAATGGCAGCCAGGTGGAGCAGGTGCCTGGAAGATGGGATCCTTCGTGAGCAAAGCAGCAAGCTTCATGAGGCAGACCCACAAATTTCCTGCACACATGTTTAAGTACCAGGCAGGCTAGAATTCTAAGGTGGTAGGGCTCATGACTAAGCTAGGTTGTTCAGAGCAAGAAGCATAGTTCAATTCAGTAGAATGAATATTCATGTCTACCAAGAAAAGGCCAATTGATCAGGATGGGACTGTTCCTCTTCCAATAGCTTAATCTTTTCTCTCACAGCTTCTCACAGACTAAGGCCTCATAAGGTGTAAGAGATAAGAGATGCTGCGTGCAAGGAATCAACATACTTTATTAAATCCACTAAGTGCCATGGAGGGACCCTGGGTCCCTTGAGCCACGTCTCAGGGCTTATCCTTAGTTTATTTGATTCTGTCCATATCATGCTTCTCACTTCCAGCTCTAGGACTCCTGACTCTGCATCCTTCTGGCTGTTCTGGTCATTGTATCGAGGACAGCATCTTTCCTCCTTCCAGGAACACTGAGGTTCAGGAAGGGGTGTAAGAGCAGCAGACCTGCCAATGCCAGCAGTCTCCCATCAGATGCTTTGGTCTGGGCCTGGCATTCGTGTCCCAGCCTGCAGGAACAGTGGACCAGGGTTTCCTCAGTGTTCTCGGCTTGCTCGTGGTGGGTGATAAGCAGATGTCTGGTGCTCTTTAAGCTCAAAGGCATCGTGGCCTTCCCTGTAGAGGGAAGGAATGCATTTCAGGGATCCCAGCCAGCCCTTGAGACCTCCCAGGCCCACAGCACACTGCCTACACCCACCTGAAGCAGCGGGCACAGTAGAGGTCTCCGTCACAGCCAGTACAACGCAGGGAGGCATCCTCATTGCAGATGCAGCACCAGGGGAGCTCCTCTATCTCTGTCTCAGGCTTGGGGGCCTTAGTCTGAGCCATGGGATAAGGAAAGAAAGTTAGGTAGTTAGGAAAGCTGGGGTATGGGCAGTCAGCAGGCAGGAAGGCTGTGCTGATGGCTGGGATACCTGTGTCAAGGGCCTTCTCACCTCAGGCTCTGCCTTGTGTGGCTGGGCCTGGGGTTGGCTGGCTGGCTCTGCAGGAATGTTAAAGCCACTTGCTTCATCCAGGGCAGCTTCTTCAGTTAGCTGTGGACACAGTGAAAAGTTACAAGGCCCTGCTCCGCCCTTGGGCACCGCCTCCTGGCATTTCTGCACTCTCTGGCCTCAGTTTCTCAAGTCATCTTTCTTGAGTTGCCTGTGGCTGCTGAGCCCTCATCTTAAAGAGCCAGGGGCAGGCCAGGGGCACAGAAGCAGAGAGACCCCAGCTAGAACAGCCGCTGCAGAGTGACTGTGGCCCAGTCCTAGAGGGGAGATAGGGTGAGCAGGGCCAAGTGGGTGTGAGGTAATAAGACACAGAACAAGGGGTGGTCTGGTGGGTAAGGCAGGGCCTACCTGCTGCATAACTCTCTGGATGGCTGTCTCCTCATCTTCATCATCATCACTGTCTGGGAGGCGATAGTCCTGGAGGGTCACTTTTGGAGAAGGGAAGAGTGAGGCTGAGAGATTTTAGCTGTCTGTACTCCTACCCCCAGAAGGCTGGCGTGTAAGAAATCCTCTGCAGCCACTCTAATCACCCTCCCCTGCAGGGGTATCACTGAAGCACAGGGCTGAGGAGTTAAGAAGCAGCACAGAAGCCTCAGGACATGAAAGGACTGGGGTCCCCTGATTGATTTCTCATCTATTGCTTTGCCCCAGGAGCCCCTGATGGCCTTCCTTCCACAGAGCTTAATAAATCTTTGACCTGAGCTTTGGCAGGGAGCACCTATAAAGGTTGGGGAGGCTTTGCCTGATAGACATGCATGAACAGCTGCCCTCCAGGCTCTACCTCCATCAGGGTCCTGCCCCCGCAGCACGGCCAGCCGCTTGGCGAGAGCCAGGATCTTCTCCTGCCTCGTGTTCTCCTCCCTCAGCTCAACTGCTGCCCTGGCCAGCAGCCTGCTCTTCTCCTCCTCCACAGACCAGGCAGCCTGCTCTGTAGGATTGGCACCCTGGCCTCCTGAGCCACCCTGGTTGAGGTCATTCTGGATAGAGGCAGCTGAAAGGAGTGAGGCAATCAGGGAGGCAGAGACACTCCAATTATCTCTTGCAGAAAAGACTGAACCCATTGCTCAACTTTTTCTTTTCATTATATGACATCAGTTTCTTCTCAAGCACTAGCTCCTGTGGTTTATATTACAAATGACATGCTATTTCCTTGACTTTTTTCAGAAGTAAAATACTAATAATCTTGTGTACCATCGAGTTGTTGTGTGCCGTTGAGTCGGAACCAACTCATAGTGGACCCTCTAGCAGGTTTTCAGTGGCAGTAAACCAAATCAGAGACTGCCCATCCTCTTCCTACAGAGCAGCTGGTGCATTTGAGCCATGCCCCTTTGAGACTGCAGTGCAGCTTCTTACACTAGGCCACCAGAACTCAAAATACTAACAGTCTTGGAGCTATGTCCCCCAACCACATCCACTCCAACTTCTGGATATTATTTTTATAGTAGATGTCCCACAATCTGATAATCACTGCCCTGTTAGCAGTAAGACAAGGCCTGGCCAATCTCTTTGCCATACAGGACTGGGGTTAGCATTTCCCAGGAGCAGCAAGGAGAGGGCAAAAGCCTAGGTCTTGCCTGTCACTGGGCAAGAAGGATTTCACCAAAGCAGGTGACATGGCTCTGACATGGTGATCTTCAACTTAAGTTTCAGAATTAAGTGGGTTTGAAATTAGACAATTTTGGTTTCAAGGTTCTCCCACTCAGTAGCTGTTGACCTTGGTGCTGAGCCTGAGATAACATACCTAATAAAGAAATCAAAGAATGGAGACTGACTCTAAAGCTCATACACTTAACCACTAGACTTTCAAGGGCTCCCCTCAAGGTAAACAATAAATGATAGTTCTTAGTTAACTGTTCAGAATTATATTCATCTCCCTGAGTGTGGGCAGCAGAACCTCTTCCACTTGGGCAAAGAGATGAACAGGTCCTTGGGGAAACCAGGTAGAAAGGTTACCGGGGCCTCTCCGTTCCAAGCTCTCATCAATAGCCACCTCAGCTGCCAGCTGTGTCAGCAGATCCTGCGCCTGCTGGATGTGGGTCCTGGTGTCTGGTGTCTGATGCACCTGTCCAGGGAAGGGGACAGAAATGGGAAGCCACCAATGAAGCCCAGAAGTAGTCTAGGTTGGGGGAGGGCGGGTGCTAAAGAGTTCTCAAATCCCAGAGTCCCAGTACCGATTGGAGCTGAGTCAATTCCAATTTGCTGCGACCCATGTGCATCAGAGTAGAACTGTCCAGAGTTCTCAATGGTCGTGATCTTTAAGAAGCAGAGCGCCAGGCTTTCCAAGGTTCCTCTAGGTGGGTCTGAGCCACCATCAGTTTGATTAGCAGTTGGGTACTTAACCATTTGTGTCAAGGAGAGTAAATCAGAGCCCATATAATCTAATGGGTCTGGAGATACACAACAAGACTGGGTTGATACATCTTTTCATGCTCCATCCAATCCTGCTGCTTATTCCTGGTTTCCTGGCCAGGCAGCATATCTAAAGATTAGGGGGTAGGGGTGGGTGACTTTGCCAACTCTGCAAAGTATATACCTGTACATCTAACTGGGCATCTGCTCGGTCATTTCCCAGGGTCTCCCTTCCATCTAAGCCATGGCACTTACCAGCTGGGGTGTCTGAGAAGGTGGAGCTCTGCCCTGCAATGTGGCAAGCCGTGCCTCCATCTCCTGGGTAGAAGGGATGGAACGCTGGGGGTCATCCCTAAGCGCAGCCAGCCGGGCTTCTATCTCTGCCTGTGAGGCTACCATCTCTGCAAATGGCATTGGAAAAGCCTTGTAAGAATCAGAGGAGTCGAGTCGCCAGACAGTCAGTGTCCTTGAGGCTCCCCTGCCCATCCCCACTCACTGGGCTTGTTCTCCTGGCGGAGTCTTGCCAGGCGCTCGGCAATGACCTGGTCTTGTTGGGTCAGTCCCTGGCTTCGGGGAGTGCCAGGCTTCTGCTTAGCTTCTAAAGCTGCCATGCGCCTATAAGACAGAGATTCTAGCTTAGGGAAAGAAGAAAGGAAGAAGGTACCCATTTATTGTTTCTTATTCAGATAATTTCTGGGCATCTAGAGGGTAGGGTCTTCAACGCAATATTCTGTTGTCCTTGCTTATGTTGCTTAGCAGCTCTGCCTAGCTCCAGCAGAGAGGGAGCACAGTCTAGCTTAGGCACAAGGCTGATGAACTGCTTTCTAAGCCCAAAGGAGAAATCGGGGGCCTTAGAGAGAGGTATTCTCCTGATCCTGTGCTCAATCTTGAGGTGGGAGAAGGGTCCTACCCTGATGGCTCCTTTGTTCTCTCTCCATCTTTCTTCAACACTTACTTCTTATAGTTCTGGGGTGGTGACCACTTGGAGGTGCTGGCTGAAGTAGACCCTCTATAGGGAAGAAATGTAGTGTTAGAGGTTCTGCCACCCTTCCAGGCATTCCCCCTACTTTTCCCCACTCCCCATTTCCTCCTCACTTGGGCTAACCCTTGTTCACAGAGCATGCCTAGCTGGACCCTGGCCATGCCAGACTCTTACCTAGTCAGGACCTCATGGCACTGCTTGCAGACTTTGTGCTGAGTGTTTCCAGCCCGGGGCACTGCTGCACTGAAGCTGAGGCAGCCAGAACAGAAGGCCCGGCCACAGTTTTTACACCCGCACTAGAAGAAATATAAATCAAGACGATATACTTCTCACCTCCCCCTGCAGACTCCATCCTGGGATTCTTCAAGTACATAACGAGGGGATGAGACTGACATTGTGACTCATTGTCACTCATCTTTTCTAGGAGGATGAGGACTAAAGCTCCTAAGGTCTAGGGAGAGACATGTGCTGAGTCTGGAGCAGTTTCTCAGTCTCTTATTTGAATAAAATAAAACTTCATGCAAAATTCCTAAAGGCTTTGTCCTCTGGGCTCAGTTCTCTGACACAGGGTGTAGGAAGAACAAAGGCAAAGCCTCATGCTTCAAGTCATTGACTCTTCGGCAAAAGAGAATCAGAGAAAGCATAGGACACATGCCTTCTCTGCTCCTGTAGAGTAGGAGGGTGGCTGGCCTCTGGATGAGTGATAACAATGGCCTCTATTTATTAAGCACTTACCATGTGCCAGGCACTCAGCTCAGTATTAAACATTCATCTGACTTAAATCTTCATTAATTTACACTAAATTTACTAACCTGTGAAGATCACTACTTCCTGTCTCTATTTGAGATGGAGCCAGATAGATTACATGAGTTTTCTAAACCCAGGCCATCTTTTGAACAGGAAAGCAGAAATCCAAAACTGAGGCTTAATTTTATACCATTCTATCTCTTTGCTGTTAGGTGCCAACAAATTGACTATAATTCATGAAGACCCTAAGAACAACGGATCTAAATGTGCATCATTCTCATCATCTCTGATATGTTGAGTCTATTATTACAGTCACTAATTTATCCCATCTGGTTCCCATCTTTTGATCAGATATCCTGGCCATCGCAAGGCACAGGATGCCTACTCTGAAAGCTTGGTAAATCCTTGAGGACATGTCTTTGCCATGGCGTCCTGGGGCAAGAAGAAGGACAGCAGTCCAACTCTAGAGATCTAGGAAGGGCAGGTGCATGATGAGAAAGAGTTAATGTTAAGTTTGATGAAGAGTGATCACTGGGCATTAAATAAGGGAGTACTGTGGAAAGGTTTTGTGAAGAGAAGAAAACAGATGTACACAGTAAAAGTGTAGCTTTCAAAAAACAACCGCAACATGCTTTACAGTTTATAGGACACTTTCACCTCCAGATCTCAGTAACTCTTACAGCTTTTTTAATGAGAGGCAAAATATTAACTCATTTTTCGGAAATGGAAACCAAGGTTCGGCGATTTATCAAAACAACTGAGCTGGAAAGAGGCTGAATTTGGTCGAAAACACTTGTTTTAGGATTGCAAATTCTGTGTATTTCCCTCTACTTGGTTACCTCCCCGACCCTCCAGCATCCGGGGAGAAAAGACTCGCCTCCTTCTTGAAGAGTGTGAACTTGGCTGCGCAGCCGTAGCACCTACTATCCATCTTGACTCCCGATGCAGTATGATCGGCAAAATTGAGGTCACATTGGCAGACTAAGGACCCTAGGACACTCCCAACATTGCACTGCCCCACGATACCACTCGCCCATTCTGGTTGCAGCCTTTGGCAGGGAGTCTTAACACCGCTCCGGCCCAAGATCGGCCCAGTAAGAACGGTGATTGCTGGGAGTTGTAGTTCACTTGCGACTGGCCATCCCCTTCTGATTCGGTTCAGCCAGACCCAGAATACGTCAACTCCCAGAAGGCTTTGCGCCAGTCCGCACGCTCGGAGCAAGCAATCCCCGGGGAGTTCCGCCACGCACTTGGTCTCTTGGGAGTTGTAGTACCAAGTGTGCAAGTGTCGGAACTATGGCGGTGACCAAGGAGCTTTTACAGATGGACCTGTACGCGCTGCTCGGGATCGAAGAAAAGGCAGCAGACAAAGAGGTGAGAATGGTGGCAAGGAAAGCCAAACCTGAGCGGTCTTCCCTGTCTAACTACCTCGTTCACAACTGGCTCCCACTCTCCAGGTTCCACCCGGCGCTGGGCAAGAGCCGGGGATGTGAGGAGGCGACAGTCTCCGAAGATGGGGCTCCCAAAACTTTCCTGAAATTCTGAGGGCCTCCAGGGGTTGAGGGAGCACAGGGAACTCCAGGCCGCGTGACTGTTCCCGCAGTAGCCTTTATTGGAGAGACCCTGAAGTGAGCCTGTTAGGGACCCTAGCCTGTCTTTCGCGCCTGCGCAGGCTCAGCTGCTGATTCCGTTTGTCTCCCCTGTGGTTGGAGGTGCTTCATTCACTTTCGCTGGAGGGCTGATTCAATCCCATTTAGTGTCTTGAAGAATCTAAAATACCAGACCTACCCCACTGCCACGGAACAGCTGGTGGATTGTAATCACGCACTTTTTTTT